TGATTGAAATAAATAAATGTTGACATAAAAACAAATTCAAATTTTCATAATATAGGTCTTACTTTATTAGCTACTATATTTCCCTAACTCTTCAAATGACGAATGTATTACTAATTCTAATTTCCATTTTTACCCATTATTAATTATATCTTATAATTATCTCCTGTTCTAAGAATTCTCCTTCCTTTTATCACTTACATATCTTTATCTATATATTTTACGGTTGTTTTTGAATATAACTTTGTATTTCTAAGTATAACTCTATATTTTTAAATATAACTTATTTTAGATTTATCTTTAAAGTTATTTTTTTTTATTTATTTTTTTATTTTTAAATGTATAATTTATTTTATCTTAATATATTTTTATTTTTAATATAACATATTGATTTTATATTAAATATAACATTTTTAAATATAATTTTACTTAATTTTAATATAAATTATTTAAATATGACTTATTTTTAAATATAACTTGTTTTTGGAATAATACTTTTAAGTATGTTTTTGTATTTTTAAACATAGCTTTATCTATATAATTTAAGGTTTGTTCAAACCACTTTTTATTCCTCTCTTAGTTTCAAATTAACATTTCATTCTTTATATAACCCCAATTTAATGTCATAGGGTCAATATGCAGGTTTAATTTTATAAAATCTCTTCCCTTTTAAGGTTAATGCCTTCCACTTTCCCCTGACCCCTGTTTTGTGCCTTTCGTCTGACTGAAACATTGAAATGGATAAATTCTGTATTAGTTTTTCAATATTTTTTTTTTTTTGTAGCTTTCACTACTAAATTTCTAATTCAGACACAAACTCTATACTGGCATTGAATAAGACTGACATATTTTATTTTTTCATCAATTGAAATAAACTTATTCTTCATATGAGGTGATTTGGGATTTTATTGTGTATTAATTATTATCTGTAATAATACATTGAGCTCTTTTTGTGGATCAGTTTTAATATTTTCCAATAATATTTTTCTAGGATCCAAGTGGATTATATACCAACAGATTAATTACCTTTACTGTGTGTGTGTGTGTGTGTGTGTGTGTGTGTATGTAAGTGGACATTGATGTCAACACTATTGTGACAGTTTTTTTTTTCAAGCTTAAATGCAATCTTTAGTCCTGAAGACTGTGTTCAAGCATGAAACAGACTGTCACCAAATGGTGTTGACCTCAGTGTTGACTTTTATATTTATATATGCTCTATCCCTGGTATTGAGCACTTTTACCCATAAATATAGCATATCATAAAACTCACTCACTCTCTCATATATATATATATATATATATATATATATATATATGTGTGTGTGTGTGTGTGCGCAAAAAATTTGCTGGAAACACTGAATAGACCTGAATTTGAGATAAGTTATTATCATTCTAAAAGCTGTTCAAGATTTGATCTCGTTTTTGATGTTATTGGTAAATTTCAGCCAATCCCCTGTATAGCACTCACCCCCAACCCCCTTTTTCTTTAAAGATGGACAATATAGAATTGGCATAATGAATTAGTTCACTTATAATATTTCTCACCATTAACATCTGCTGAAAACTACTTCCTGGTTTTGTATGACAGAAAGAGAGAGGCTTAAAATGAAAGATTTGTCTTTTTGTCATTTCCTGCTCTGGGGCTGCACAAGGAGATATGTCTAGAATTCATGATCAGGCACAATAACACACCCGTCTCTTGTACTATCTTCATCAGGATATAAGTTATTAATTATATGATATAAAATACAATGCCACATACAGGTACACATAAAAGGGAGGAATAAAAGTCACTCTGCCACTCTTATTAATGATATATTCTGTTACTATGGTAAAAATAGGTATTACTTGATACCACTAAGTGAACATACATCAAGTTAGCATAACAACAGAATCTCATTAGTAAGTATGAGAATCAGGCTGCTAATACATTGAGTTTTTTTTTTCTTTGTATTTCTTTTGTTTAATTTTCTTTGAGTATTTTTTTTTCGTTTTAATGATTTAAAATTGGAATTCTTTTTTGCGGGTAACAATAGAATTAATTGAATTAAATAAGAGTTGGATAGAATGAAAATTGTAAATTATTTATACAGAAAATAAAACCAATGCAATTGCAAAATTAAGTATAGTCAACATTTTCAGCTGAAAATGGAGTGGGATCTCTCTGCTAGGGTGTGTGGGGTGGGGGTAAACAAAATCTACCAAAGTCCCCACTAACCCAAGCTCTTGTGTCCCAAGAAATACTGCTGGAAACTTTTGCGTGTACATAATATTATAACTTCTTGTTACTGTAATAATAATTGAATTTATATATATGGAGAACAAAACCCATGCAATTTTGCTGATCTATAGAAAATCTTTATCTCTCCATTCTTTAACTGCTAATCTTTTTTTTTTTTTTTAAAATGAAAGGGGGGACTTCTAAATTGTAATGGTCTGTGTTCATAGGTGTAATTGAAAATTATGATGCTTACAAAGTCACTTGATCAAATAAGAATAGCAGTAATTCAATTATCAGGACAGATTAAAAAAAAAAAAAAATCGTGGGTGGGGGAGAGAGAGAGAGAGAGAAATGCTTTCAATGTACTTAAGTCTTTTCTCTACTATCATGGTAGACCAGTGAGTAGACCACAGTCAAGATGAGAGAGCACAGGGAGAAATGGAAACATGGCTTTCTTCATAATGTTAGAGCAAACATAGCAAGTCAAATCTGAAGAAATGTTCATCTTACCAATTCCACACAAGTTTCGCAAAAGGCTATTGTGTTCAATCCTTCGCCATGAACTTTGTAACATTCCTTGCATTCTCGAGTTGCTAAATTACCACAGATTACACATTCTCGAGGACCTGTGAAAAGAAAAATTAATGAGAAATGAATAGGAACTCTACTACATATATCGTTAACTACATATACTTAGTAGCTATGCAAGATATGGATAAAGAAATATACAGTTTTTGGCAAACTTGTACTTTCATGCCTGCAAAAAAATGGATTGTTAAAAGGATGGTTTTTCTCTTGACACCATCATTATTTTAACTATCTTCACTCCTTGGCAATGTTTGTTTATTTACACTATTTATTATATTGTTTATTGGAATTAATAAAAAATTGTTTTCATATTTCTTTATAAATTGGTAAATGTTAAATATTAGTTTTAATGTATTAGTTTTACTTGTATTAAATCTTATATAAAATTAGAATCAGAAATAGACAAAAAATTGACATCTTTTTCATAAAAAAATAAAATGGATAAAAGACTGACTGAAGCATTTGAAAATGCTATTTGATGATGTAAATGTTAAATTTCTTTCAGGAAATTACTTTTTTTCTGTATTTTTTTTTTTTTTTGATAAATTTAGGTATTCAATTATCCAGAATTTTAAATTACCTGAACATATGTCTTTAAACCCTGTCCTAAAGTGTCCGGATGAATAAGGAAGTACTTTAAGTATTAGTGCTTAAAGAATACATTAAGATACCTCTGACACATTTAACAAGACACATTGTTGATTATTATTTTATTAAGTATTATATCCCATTGTGTAATGAGAAAAAATTTCAGGAAATTAGTTAATAGAAGATAAAGAATCAAAGATAGTAGAATGATGGCAAACTGTTTTCTGCTAAATAATCTTTGTTAATTTCATGGCCGAAATATTTCAGATGACATCCATGAAATATGACTTCTGATGGTGTTGAATGCAAGTACAAGTTTCATTCAAAAGTATATTTTATTTCTAACTTCCACACTCTCTAGCAGACAGAGTGTATTGTAATAAAAAGCAATGATACTAAGATGAATAAAACTAGTAATAAAACAACATTAAGAAAAAAGTATCCCAATATTATGCTACAACTAACACACTGGTATTCAGTGGCAGACTGGGTCTAAATATGTTGGTTACCAGAAGACAAAGGAGGCCCATTCACAGCTACAATACTAACATTTCATTTTCATAACAAATAAATAAAATGTGTATTTCTTAGTAATGATAGTGAACATTTTACTGGCAGTAGATACCAAATGTAAATACAGAATGTTATTCATTTTTTTTTTCATTTTAATAATTGGTTGATATTTTAAAATAGTTTACTGCACAATTTACACATTAACAGACAGTTAAAAAGTACAATAGAGCATTGCATGCAGTCCACAACATTAAGAGCAATCATTTGTGTTCCCAAGATGATTGTTTGAATCTGGCAATAATTGCTTCTGTATCCAATTCCTCAAACAATTCCTTTTCAATGTATGATTCCAAATCCTTCTAAGACAGAGAATTTCTTAACATTGTCTTTATGATCTTTAGCTTTGAAAATGTCCTGTCACATTGGACTTGAGTAACTGATAATGTGCAGATAAATTTATAAAGTTCTTATTCATTTTTATTGCTAAAATAGTTTATGTTTTTTTTTTTTTTACTGCATTTTCATTTGATATGATGCAGTGGGGATGCACTCAACCAGGGCCCTACTTGCCATTTGAGCAAGCCGACACCCTGTCCAGTCTGCCACTGTTGGTATTTTGAAAAAAGTTGATCAGACAGAAGGTCCAGGTCATACAGTTGACCAGACAGATGTTCCAGGCTATACAACTAGAGTATTGGAAAGCATTGTCTTTGTATAAACTGTCAAACTATATTGGTTTATTCTTCTGTTTTCTTTACCACATCTTAATTAATATGTAGCCATAGCAATCTTTGTTCTCACTTATCCAAAATGTTAATTAACATGAGTAAATGATGCCAGACTGACATTTGTTGGTTGGTTATTTAGCATGGGTTTATTTAATGCCAAAATTTAAATATTTTGTATGCAATTTTTTGGGGGTGGGAGGGATAATATTGCTTTAGTGATACAAGTCTTTCTAATTAACCCATTGCTGAGGGTGGAAAAGTTGTGGATTCATACCTTTCCCAAGGGTATTTGCATGTAGGTGGAATATAACAAACCCAACTGGAATTGGAACTTGGCTCTCTGATTAAGAATTCTGAGCCATTATCAATTACCTGGTATTCCCAAGTGACCACCCATCTAGGTACTGACCAGGTTTTATGTTGCTTAACTTCAGTAATCACATGGGAACCAGTGTTTCAACATGATGTGGCCATAAGCCAGGCTAGATAGTGAGTATTGAACTTATACTTTTCCCAATGGTATTAATAAAAAGAATTAAAGATTTGGTTTGTTCTTTGTATTTAGTCAGAAAATACACCAGGTACACATTAGACAGAACTTTTCAAGTTATAAACTTAAAAAGCTTTATGAACTAATTTAACCATTTGTGAACAGTTGACAAGATATCTCATAACAAATGTCTTTATTTATGAAGCAGTTGAAATATTTCATTGCTATGATGCCATACAAAAAACATCTAAAATTTTGGTACGTAGGTGCTGGTAGTTCATTGACAAAATCCATTTTGTTTTCTTTAAAAGATGCTTCTTGGTTCTGATAGTTTTGATTTGCAGAACAACAGAAACGAATGGACTTTACCTCTTTCAAGAACATCTGTGATATCAAGTTGAAGGCTTGGTATAATTCGGCTGTACATTTTAAAATCTTTACCAAATCTGGGCATTTGGAGAATCAAGCAAGAAGGCATCTAAAGAAGAAAGAAAGATTGATGAAAATTCTTTGAATACAATCATTAAATATCAATAAGAAAACTATACTTCTGTGATGAAAATAAATGAGCCAATGTTTTATTATCATACAAATTTCTGTTGAGGCTTTCTTCTATTTGATCGGTCTTTCAACAAACTTGAACTTTTTGTGCACCCAAGAAAAAAAAGAAAGTGTCAAAAGGATTGTATGGCCATTGAAAGCACTATTATCTTAACTACCTAAACTCCTCAATAATGTTTACCATTTCAAAAAGGTGATGAATAGGATTGTAATAATACCTAAACATATAAAAGTGAATTTATACATTTTCTTTGTTCTTGAGAATTGACAACAAAAATAATAAACACTATTTATTTATTATATTGTTTATTGGAATGGTTGGCAAAACATCAACTAAATGACAATTGATTCAAACTTTATGAAATGGTAAATAAAAAGAATTTCCTTATAGTTGGTTCACATATTTTAAAAAATGTTTACAAATTTATGAATAAAAATATATTTTTACATTCATTTATTTATAAACTGGTAAATGATAAATATTGCATTGCATTAGTTTTAATTATAATTTTTAGAATGTTGTAAATAGAAAAATTATTCTTGTAAATAAACAATCTATAAATAGTGTTTAATATTTTTGTTGTAAATTCTCAAGAACAAAAATATACATAATTCGTTTTCATTATATGTTTAGGTTAGACATTGCCAAAGAGTGAAAGTAGTTAAAATGATAGTGATGTCACGGGAAAAACTGACATTTTAACACTCCATTTTTCTTGATGGTCCAAGGTTGTCTTTGTCTGAAAGTGCACCTTTTGATGGTTAAAAATGAAGTCAATTCATCACAGAAAATATTTCAAAACAAAAACTGCATCATTTCTGATGCAGTCAATCTATAAAGATACCAAAGAACCTGATGAAGTTGATAAAATTTTGTTCCTTTTTACATTCCTTGACAATAAGTCATGCTTAGAAAAAGTGTGAACTTATTTTAAAATCAGATAGAAAATATTTCAAAAGGAAAAAATCAAAAATGCCATTTAGAAAATAAATGCTGTAATATTTTCTTTTTATTTTGGATTGGGACTTTCAGAAGTTTATCAGCTAAGTTAATAAAAACTGAGGAGAAAATAATTACCAGCCAGAATTTATTCACCCCTATATCAAATTCTTGTCTTGTTTTGGTAAGAATGAAGCTGACACAGACTGCCTTGTGGTTGAGATAGTTGCATTTTTTTTAACTGGTGCTTGTGGTCAGGTTTTAAGCACAAATAAACAAGTCAGTCTGTAGGTATCAATTTTTAAGAATGGGACATTGGTGCACACCAATTTTCATAAGCCCCCATATGACTTCATATGCTCATGTAGTGTAGTGGTTGTCAGCATAGAAAGTGGAGCTGGGATGCCATGTTCAAATTCTGGCCAAGTTTGTTGTATTCTCCTTTGCACAAATACTCCTGAGAAAGGTATGAATCCATCTCTTCTAAACCCACAGCTGTCTAGGATCTTGAACTTTGATTAGAAAGAGTAGAGGTTTATCCCTTGTTTCTTGTTTAGGACTGGGTTTTTAGTTCCTTCTAAAGTCTATTTCCACACTATACTTTTAACTTCTCTGACTGAACTCTGAAATATTAGTCACTAATTAAATCTTGACTTCTTCAAGTCTAGAGTTAGCTGTTATCTTTCCTGTATAATCTTAAGAACTTCACTTTTTGCCTTTCTTATACTCATACAACACCACATGGTAAAATCTACCTTGAGTGGTTCTTGGGCTTTTTATCAGGTGAACATAAAATAGAAAAAAAAAAATCAACCAGTGTAGGAGGAGAACAATTTTGAATTAAAAACAGGTTGAATATGGGGTAGTAACTCCCCTCCATAAAAACTTACTTGCTATGAAAACTACAGCAGTAACACCTAGTGTGTGGTGAGAGTGTGGCCCTATGTTCCATATGGTGAGTCTAATTGGAAGACTTTTGTACAAAGTCAAAAATTAGAAGTATCTAGAACCAGAATTACCAAGCTTCTATGTACAACAAAATCTTTACCAGGAAAACAGCCTCAACTAAAAAACTAATATATTTATATAAAGAAGAAAAAAAAACTGTGTTGCTATTTACCTTGGAGAGTTTGATATTGGATTGTAAAAAGGATAACTCAAATAATTGTTGTGTGGTAGGTAAGACCAGTTGCTCATCTCGCTCTATAAATAGCTGATAGGAATATGACTGTTGGGAGGAGCTGAAAAATAAACACACGGCTTACAACAGCAACAAAAGGAAAAGCCAATTAAAAAAAAAAAAAATGACTCTCACTCCACCCTCCCACCAACCAACCCATCTCATATAGAACATGTGGCAGAAATACCTCCCACATAATGGTAACATTAGATGTTAGAAGGAGGCACCATTACCACTAATGTTTTACTATTACATAGGTGTTTCTGCTGCACCTTGTATAAACAAGATTTTGGCTTTTATCAATGTCCACTTTAAGACAAGTCCAGCACTTCATGCATTTTTAAAAATTTAATTATTGCATTAAAAAATATTTCTGGTAGTGAAAAATTTGAAAAATCATCAAATTGTCTGAATAAGCTCTGGCACTGAATCTGGATGTTGGGGCATTCAAAATCAAAAAGTAAGGCATTGTCAGTGGTCAGAAATTAAGGTAACACTTATTGAAGGAATAGGGTTATGATATGTATTATGTAAATGCATTGTTATAGAAATATATTTGCAATCAGGAAAAATAGGAATTGTCAGTGGTCAGGAATTAATGCATGTATTACTGACAAAAATGAATAAGGTGAAGAATTTCCTCAAAAACAAATTTGCGATGACTTTTAAAAGTGAAATATATACGATTATATTCAGAACAGTACTAAACAACTCTTACCAGGTATATTTTCATCTTCTGAATCTTCAGGCTTCAAGTGCTTGGATCAATAAGATGACATATGGTGAACTTTCAATAAACACCTACCATACCATACTTTTCAAAAACTACATTGTTCATCTGAGTAACACAAGAATCTATGTAAATCATTTCCTTTTTCATATATGATAGTAGGCATATAAAATAGTATTTACATACAAACACACACACATATATATTTTCACAAATGATACTGGGTTAACTGATGTGTAAATATTAACATTACTAAATAATAGACGCTTTAAAATGATTTTAAATGAAGCTACCTAAGTTGTAAGAGAGGATCGGCTCTCATTACTTGGCCAAAAAGGCAGTTCAGAAGTTCTTCTGGGTCTGAAAGAAAAAAAAATTAAAATGTTCAATAACAATAGAAATTGATATTTCAGATTGACCTCAATCTTTCTTCAGAAATAACTGTTTGTTTACAAGTAGCGTCCATCACGAGATGCGGACATCACATGATATGGAACGCCACTGTGTTCGAATATTCTTAACGTAAATCTAACTGTAATAATATTTTAGATGTTGTTTAAAAATAAAAAAAATTTAACTATATCTAAAAAAATGTTTAACTATGGAAATATTTATAAAGATTTAAAATACTCGAACACAGTGGCATTCCATATCACGTGATGTCTGCATCTCGATGGACGCTACTTGTAAACAAACAGTTATTTCTGAAGAAAGATTTAAGTCAATCTGAAATATCAAATATATATATATATATATATATATATATATATATATATAAATAAATAGATACTTTCATAAAAAACATTATTATTTTTTTTAATTTGCAACTTTTTCTATATATACATATTAAGAAAGTATATGTGGCTTCTCATTATGCTATATATATATATATATATATATATATATATATATATATATATATATATATTAAAACCTTGAATAAGTTCTTGCTACTTTTTCTTGAAACGTAATGTTTTATTTACAAAAATTAGTAAGAAACATGTCACTGAAAGTATTGTCCATCACTAGCTACTACTTTTTCCCATCTGTTGGTCAGCATTTGAATTCCATGTCTTTTAAGGCTAACCACGAATTAACCAATTTTTTGGCATCTTCATAAGAATGAAAGTGTTGCTCAGCCAGGCCATGTGCCATCGATCCTGTCTCTGCTTGTATAGCAACCGTTTATTCTTCAATGCTCAGCTCAAATGAATCAATTGTAGTCAATAGCAATCTCCCGTGATGGCTTTGTTTGGTTTGAGCAGCTCATAATAAACTAGACTCAGGTGATCCCACCAAATGCAGATCAGAAGCTTCAAACCATGGATATTCAGCTTTGCTGTCGATATTGATGCATAGCCAGGCTTACCCAACGATCTTCTACGTTCAGGGTTATCGTAGTATATCCACTATTCATTGCCAGTCATGATACAATGCAAAACCCTTTCCTTTTCTTCCATTGAAGCATCTGTTCCCACATGACAAGACACTGTTCGACATCTCTCAGCTTCAATTCGTAGGCACCCAATGTCCTTGCTTTTAAATCATTCCTAATGCTTTCAAACATTTCAAAA